AAGGTTCCAGCACCCTAACAGGCACTGTGGGCAGGGGCGCCGCGGGGGGAACCCAGGCTGCATGTGGGAGGGAGGGAGAGTGGATGGGAGCGTGGGCTTTAGGCAGGGAAAGCGTATGACTCCCCGAACATTCTCGAAAGCGTGGAAGAAACGTTAGAGCCCCGAAGCGAGCTTACCGCCTGGGAGGCGCCAGGGACGGCGATGCCGTGATGCCGGGGCTTCCGCAGCTATGGAGTGAGTACCCCCTTTGAACAAGACTTCCCAACAGGAGCAGAGCGCGTTAACCCTTCTTTGCTCGCTATTCCGGGGCTTGTCGGATTCTGATTCAGCTCTGGGTCTGCCAGAAGCCAGCTCAGAGCAAAAAGCTGCAATAGTCATAGCGCCCCAGGTGGGGTGTAGGGCTGCAGGCCCTTTGCCCAGTTCTCACATGTGTGACTTGCCCCCAGAATGGACCTTTGTCGTTTCCTTCACAGAAGGCATGGCCTCATATACACACCCTACAGGTTTGAACGAAGTTCACGGTTCCACATAACCTGGAACCCCACGGACTACCCCTGCTTGCAGGGCCCTGGGAATCAATCTTCTTTTATGAATGCTTTAATGGTTGGAACAACCCGATTTCTGTTGAATAACTTCTATGTGCAACTACAGGAAAAAAAAAAAACCACCCTTAATTTATTACATGATGTAGCCATTTACAATATAGCACATTTTTTTTTGCAACCCTGCTTTGTTATTTCTTCATCATTAAAGCATATTTATCCAGAGAATGGAAATCTGGCCGAGGCCCAGCGTCTCCACACCTGAGGACCCTGCAGTGAGCACACCGCTGGACACCTGGGAACCTCTGTCAGAGGCGGTAGTTCAAGGAAGATCATCACACATCAGCCAAATCAGCACTGCCCAGAAGTTCATAATAACAACAGCAATAATAATGGCAAGAATAATGGTAAGTCCATACAGGTTGCGCAGTGCCAAAGGGTTTTGAAAGCACACCCACACTTTGTGATCCCACCATCCCAGAGCCAAGCCTGGGAGAGGCACGCTCTCACAGTCCACCCACCCAGTCACCTCAGCTCCTAGGATTCCGAGCTTTGAAGGACCCTGACTCAGCCTCTGGATGGCCTGTGACTTGGTGCGGGGCAGACGCAGGAAATGCAATGCCCCAAACGAATGGAGTTATCACTGTTGTTACCGCTGTCGTTCTGTATTCTTTGGCTGCTCCTTCGGGCCTCCCTCAGATTAGGAGCCTCTTTGCCTGCTTCCTTCCTTCTCAGGGCATGGTGGCCGTGGCCTCTGCAGTAGCCATAAGCCACCAGCTAGTGCAACAACCTGCCCCTACCGCCCTCAGCGCTCTCCAGCCTACAAAGTGCTGTCAAGCATTTGCTGGGCCCTGCAGTCCCCACGCAGCTCTGTGTGCTTCCCAGCTATGATTATTAGCTGAGGGAGGTTGGTGACCTGCAAGATTGAAGCCCTGTGGCACCTAGGCCATGGCCTAGGCCCCAGCACTGGTCGGCCTGCTCCCCAACTCTCCCTTCTGCCCAGGAGTTCCTCCACCAGTTTTTGGGCTTTGGGGAAATACCTAATTTCCTTGCTGCTCAGGCTCTGTCGGCAACGGCAAGAGAACTTCTGTAAAGCGAGGTGAACTCCGTGGACTTGTGGGAAGCCGTGTTCTGCCTTTTCCTGGCGAACCCTGATGGGAGGTAACATGGTTGAAATGTGGGCCTGCCTGGGACTGAGCTCCGGGGCTGGTTGGGGAGTCCCAGTCACTGCACCCCCGCACCTCGGGGAGTCTGCAAGCCTTGGATGAGATCCTACCTGGGTGAAAGGCTGACTGTGGCTATCATCACTGCCAGTTCCCGCTCCCCCAGATGCCACCTCCCCCAGCCTGAGTTGGGGATGCAACTACCACAATCCCACCTGTCAGAGGTGTGGGAAGGCACATCCAAGTCTTCCCAATGAACAGATTCACTGTCACCTCTCCCCCTTTGCTAGAGTGGCCTGTAAGACATTTATTTTCAGAATGGATGGCACCCCTATACACCCCCTGCTTGGTGGATACTCTTGGGGGTCTGAGAGTGGGACTTGCTGGAGTGGGAATCAACTTGGGATGGCTAAGGCCAAGACCCACAGGCTTTGGGGTGGGAAGAAAGCTAGAGTTACACACGCGCGCACACTCACACACACACACACACACACACACACCTCAGCGACCCTGGCAGTTCAGAATGAGATTCATAGGCTGGGCCTGGAGCCTTGGGACTGATTTCAGGGTGAGTCACAGCCTTTCTGCCCCCCTTTCCCAGCCATTCCTTCTGCCTTAGTTTACCCTCCTCAATGTGTGGGTCCCCAGTAGGCCCCCAAGGCCAGCTCTGAGATTCAGGAAGGGCTGAAGGGGACTGAGAAAGATGAAGCGTTCAGAAGTCCCTAGGGCTCGGGTGACAACGCTCTGCTCCCCCAGGCCCAGAGCAGACCTGAGACCAGCGCCCAGCTCTGCAGCTGGGGCGCATGCCCCCCCCCCCCCCCCCCGCAGGGCAGGCAGGGAGCAGGACCAATTGTTCCTCATCCTCTAAGAAAAGGGTCCAGGCGTGAGTGCAGAAGGAAAAGGAAATGAAAATAGTTACACTACACATTTCCAACAAGAGCCGCTTCTGCGGCGCAGGGCCCAGTAAAGGCGCCCGTCTTGGGTCGCAGAGCAGCGGGAAATGCTCAGAGGCCAGGCTGGACCCAGGGGCTGCCTCGGGCTGCGGGATCTCAGGGCGCTCCCGCCAACGCTGGCCACAGGGCGGTTCAGAGAGAAACTGCAACAATCCGGGTCAGATGGGATCCGTTTGAGTCATTTTCCCCGGAAGTTTCTAGCCAGCCCAGAAGAACTGGCCCTGGCAGGGAGCCCGAGAGAGGGCGAGAGGGGTAGGGGCGCTGCCTGGCCTCCCCAGTTCTCACGACTCCAAATCCGCAAGGATGGAGCACAAACCACCCTCTTAGGACGCAGCTACAACCAACTGCCGGTTTCAGAAGAGGAAAAAAATCACCTCCCTCCCCGCAAATCAGTAGTGGCGACCTCTGGAGAGAGGAAGGGAGGAAGAGTCTAACATTATCGGAAATGTTCTTTCTACAAAAATAAAAAAAAAATTGCATGCGTGAATAGGAAACCAAAATTTCACTCTTAAACGTGTCAACAAGAAACAAAATGACTGCGGGAGCCGTTTGGAAAGTAGCTGGGCGTGGGGACGACGGTGTGCACTTCCCGAGGGCCTTTGCCTTTCCCTTTGCCTTTCTCAGTTTCCAGAACCGGGAACCGTTTCTTAAAGGCTCGTGGACACTCTCTGCTCCGCCCGGTCCCTGGGGCTGCAGACGCCAGGCGGGCGCCTTCGGGTATCAAGGCCCGGTGGTCGCGTGGCGGGTGAGGTCGCGGCCAGAGGAGGCGGACAGCCGGCCCGTCAGCTCCAGGTGAAATTGAAAGTAGCCGGAGCCTTGTTTCAGCGTTTCCCAGCTCGGGGCCTCGGCGCCTGCCCTGCGCGTTAACCCTTCCTTGCTCGCCCGGGCCGGCGTGAGCGAGGGGAGCGGTGCGCATTTTGCTCGGGTGGATCCGTGGCATCCTGGCGCTTATTCCTCTATAGAATCAGGTAGCAACGAATCCTCGCCCAGCCCTTCCTCTGCTCCTGTCTTAGGTTTCGGTGCGGATCAAATGACGCAGGGCCCCGGGGGAGTCGAAGCGCCTTTTGCACCCCGCTGAGGTCAGAGCGCAAGTGACCCTCCCGGGAGACACCTTATTACAGCCTTGTTCTCCCCTCATCGTTTCGGAATCTCAGCGAGGGTTTTTGCTGGCCTATTCTTCAAACAAAATAAAACCAGAATCACTTAGAAAAACACGAGGAAATGGAAAGCCCAGAGATGTAGGCAGGTGGATGGGGTCAGCAAGTTAGGAGGAGGGATGGAAATTGGCGCAGGTTCAGCTATGGACTCTTCCTGGACTCTGAAACCAACGCCCACGAGGAAAAAGGGAATCCTAGGGATCCGCTCCTGATTAGTGGGATTCATCCTGGGCTCTTGCAAAGTCCCGGAAGCCGAGATTCCCTGAGCTGCGAGGGTTTACACTCCCGCTGAGGAGGGGGTGAGGGGTGGCCAGCAAGGGTGCTCCCAGGAGGGGCAGACAGCCTGGGTCCAGGACTGAAAAGAGGTTGGGAAAAGGGACCCCAGATATTTCCATGGTACTGGCTTCCCCAAAGCCGGGCGGAGAGAGGCTCAGAGAAAACAAGGCGTCCAAGAGGGCATGTTAAACTGAAAGTTTATAAATTAAAGGGGAAAATACAGCGAATAGAGCTTCCCAACTTCACAAATCTTTTAAAAGTTAATAGTCTAGTTGAGTGCACAGTGCCCTTAGGGAGGCGAAAAGCGGCGAGGTTGACAGGATCACCTGTCTTAGGGGCAGGGGCAGGGACAAGGCCGGGCGAATCCTGGGTCAGGACACAGCGATGGCGGAGAGCGGACATAAGAGACAAAGGGCCCAGCGGCTGGAAAACTGCGGAGGACGCCATAGAAAGGCTGGTCAGGGATATTCACATTGAATACAAAAATAACCATCATTTGAATACAAACAACTGAAAAGTGCTACAAGTTTGAACCCCCCATTTAAAACAAATAAAAAGAAATAAAAGAAACATGTCTGCGAAGGGCTGCCAGCCTCGTTCCCTCCTTGTTCTGGGACTCCCAGGAGCTTCCCAGTGTCTTGCGGCCCTGGCCTCCAAGAGGAAAGATGAGGGGGAGGCGGAGGGGGGAGAGGCTTCCTTCCTTACATTCAGCACTCAATAGGGCACCCTCACCCAAGGTCTGCCGCCAGGGAGGGAGGGGCCAGAAAACCAAACCCTTCACGGTTCAAACCAACCCCTGGCCCGGGGTTTCTAGGGGCTGCCTGGGTTTCGCACCCCTTTATTACAAATGCAATTTCCAAAAAGAATAGATATGTAGATACACATAGATTGGTAGCATGGATACCATGAACTAGTGTGGCCTAGCGCACGAAGCTCCCGGCGGGCCTGAACTTCAGGGCATTCAGGCTATGTGGTCTCCAGGAGTTCTCTCCACTCCGGGGAAACGCCATCCCCAGGCAGATACAATCCAAATCCAACGCTGTCGCGATAATAAATAATGTCTAAGGGCTTCCAGGCAGGTGGTGATGCGGGGAGGGAGCAGAGCCCCTAGGCCACTGGGTGCCTCTGTTCAAATTGGAAAAAGGCGCCCCCTCCGGGCAGACTCAGTCCCATCGCCAGGGCGCACGTCCCGGATAGCAGAGCCAGGGCTGGATTTGATCCTCCACTTGCCCCCTCGGGTGGGCGCCCCTGTACAAAGCACGACCTGCACAGCCGTCAGCTGCCGGCCGTCTGGAGCTGGGGAGCCGGGATCACTCGCTGCCTCGCCCCAGGCCGGCTCACTGGGTGCCCGCGGCGGCTGCGCACGTAGAAAGCGCCCAGCCCGGGAGGCAATAGTAAGGGTAGTAGTAGGAGGGCTGCAGCGGCAGCAGCGAGGGCGGCCGCAGCACCTCGCCGGGCAGGTACTGTCTCTGGTCGTCGCGCACCAGCACCTTCACCGCCACCTTCTTGGCTGCGGGCGCGGAGGCCAGCAGGTCGGCAGCCATCTGCCGGCGCTTGGTCTTGTAGCGACGGTTCTGGAACCAGATCTTCACCTGCGTCTCAGTGAGCTTCAGCGACGCGGCCAGGTCGGCGCGCTCGGGCCCAGACAGGTAGCGCTGGTGGTTGAAGCGGCGCTCCAGCTCGAAGACCTGCGCGTGGGAGAAGGCGGCCCGCGAGCGCTTCTTGCGCGGCTTCGGCGCCACCGGCTCCTCCTCCTCCTCCGCGCCGCCCGCCGGCCCGCCGCCGCCGCTGCCGCCTCCCGCCCCGCTGCACAGCGCGGGCACGCGGGCGCCTTCCGGGCCAACACCGTCGTCCTCCGCCCTCGGGCTGCGGTCGCCTTCGGACCCCAGAGGAAACAGAAACAAGAGATGGTCAGCGAAGCCGAGGAGTGAGGTTGGGCCTCAACTGCGGGGTGGGGGTGGGGAACGGAAATGTCCTGCGATCCCACCAGGGCGGTGGCGAGGGCCTCCAAGCCCGGGTTTTTGGAGACAGTCCCAGCACCAAGTTCCACTCACTTCCCGCATCTAGGCCTGTCGGGTGCGGCCAAGGGACTCCGCCGCTGTATAACGCTGTGCGGGCGGCCCAGATCCAGCTCTCTGCCCTGTCTGGGCCCCAGGCTCCCCGCGGTAACGCGGGGCACTGAGTCTGGTTACCCTCCAAAGCCTTGTCGGCTCTCAGAGCTGAGCCCTGGGGTTCTAGATTATGTTTCCCTGTTTGGATTCACCCGCCTCCCTACACTCATGCTCACACATACACATGCGTTGACTGCGCGTCAAGGGAAGGTGTAGGGACAGATTCTGGGGACAGAGGTATTCAGAGTCTTCCGCCTCCCACCACCAGAATTGAGAGGTGTGGCAATGGGCTGCCCCCCAGGCCTTGGGCAGACTTCTCCCTCTCCCTTTGCAAGGAAATTAGACAGAGGCTGGCGATTGGGGGTGACAAGAGCAGGGTGTCCCTGCCTCCAGTCCTTGGATTCACATCTGACTCCAGTTCCCCGGCGGCCTTTCCCGCGCGCTCTGGCCACAGCACCCAGCAGAGAGGTCCGGTGCTCTGGCCTCTGGCAGACGGGACAGGATTTGCCTGGGGCCGGATCGAGGCCTACAGCAGCGTCTACCAGACCGCAGGGCAGGCGTAGGGGTCTTTCTGACCCAATGAGTTGCCAGGAGCGGAGGAGGCCCCTCTCCCTGCTGCTGCTGCTGCATCTGGGATGACCCACATCAGCCCCTCTGCCTCCAGCTGGCTGTTGGGTTTGCCTCCAGCTCTTGGGTCCTCAGCCCAGAACAGCTTCCCAGGCCCTGGGGTCTGGGAAGCTAAACAAACCCTCCTCGCAAGCCCGGGCTCAGCAGATCCTGTCCCCTGGCCCGCTAGGAGGTGTCCCTCGCTACCTGTCCTTGAGCTGCAGGGCCTGGCCCTGGGACCTCCAGCCGGGAGTGTCTCTGCTCTCTGGGTGAAGGCCAGGGCACTGGCTATCCTAGATCTCTGGGCCTCTCGTTCTTCCCCCTTCCAACTGATTTGGAGATTTGGAGACAGACACGGCCTGCCAAAGGCACTAGAAATGAACTCAAATCCAAGCTGCAGGGGTTCCCTCCCAGCCCTGTCCGGAGGACGTCTCAGGCCTCGCCCCAGGACGCAGGGCTCTGAGGACGCTCTCGGTTTTCTCTCTGGCTTACGTACCGGAGGGTTAGAGCAGCCCGCGCCAGAGCGCAGAGCTTGGGGTCCGGATCAGCCCCTGGGCCCCAGGGCAGGGTGCTCGCGGCAGGCCCACCCCACTCGGCGAGGTTGACCTCCTTGCCCAGCCCCTCAGCCCGGCCCCCTTCCCCGGGAAGCCTCAGCGAACCTGAGACGCTGGCGGACATCTCGCTGTCGCTCCGGCCCACGGCTTCCTCCTCCAGGTCCTTGGCGGCGGGCAGCTCGCAGACCGGCTGGATGAGGCCCAGGGTCCCTCCCGCACGGCCGGCGCGACTGGCCCTAGGCGCGTCAGCGCAGCGCCGCCCGCCCTCGTTGTCCTCGCTCAGCGCCGAGTCCGAGTCCCAGCCACCCGGGCTCTCCGCGGTCCGCCCCGCAGCCATTCTGGTCCCGGCAGGCGACGCCAGCAGAGAGTCCTCGGCGCCCCCCAGAGCGCCCGCGTCGTTCTCCCCAAAGAGCCGCCAGCAGCAGACAGCAGGCGCCCCAGCCACTGCTACCGGTGTGCCCCCGGGTACCCGGCGCCCGTCCGGCGCGGGTAGTCCGCCGCGCTCCTCTTTCTTGTTGAGGATCGCCTGGATGGAGAAGGGCGTCAAGGTGTTGGCGCCGCGCACGGCCATCTGCGCCTCGGGCCGGAGCGGCCGGCCGGCCGGGCGGCTGGGGAGCGGGGCAGCTCCGAGCTGGACGGAACGCGCGGGGCGCCGCGGCACGAGTGAACCCGGTGCGCGCGAGGCCCCGGCAGCCCACTCCTGCGCGGTCCAGTAGCCCGCGCCCTGCTCTGGCCCGGGATCAGCGCCGACCCTCACCCCTACTTCCGAGTTTCACCCCGCCCGGAGACCCCCTCCCTCCCAATCCAGAGTCAGACGCCCTTCTTTCGCAGCTCAGCTGAATTATCTCATCGCCTAGCGCTCCGAGGGGCGGGCCGGGGTCGGCCCCTCGGAGGGCATTGGGGGGAGGATCCGCGGGGGCCCCTCGGCGGCTTGCAGTCCCCTCCTAAGCGCCTCCGGAGCGCACGACCCAGAGTCACTTTTTCTTTGCGCCTCTGTCTCTTCCCCGCCTGCAGGATTTCGGTCCTGGCTTGTCCTCTCGCTTCCCTGCTGGGCCCACGCTTCCGGAGCCCACCCCCGGCGGCAGCGGTCGCGGCGGCCGCGGGATTCCGAGAGGCGCGGGGCACCTTTTTACCCCCTGCCTGGGTTTTATCTGTTTCTTCTCTCTTTCCTTCCCCTGCGTTCCTTCGGACCCCCCTCCCGCTCGGTGTCATTCCTCACCGCTGAGTGACAGCCGCAGGCCACGCCCCTGCACTGGGCGGTCCTGGGCGCTCCCGGCCGCACATTGGCTGGCTCCGGCTGGGAGACGTTCACTGCAACAGACAAAACTGGGCGCGTTGCGCGTAGAAAGTCGGGGTCTGACTTAACCCCTTTCCTCCCAAGTCTGGTTCGCGAAGCATCTTCCAGCAGCTAGGAGGCCGCAGACCCGCTGCTCGAGAAACCGAGGGTCTTACCTTTGTGGATGTGCCCACCTATTCCCGCGCTTTTACGCAACACCGTGTTTAGTTGAGTCAAAGTCTAGGGCTCTAGGCGGAAATCCAAGATCACGCAGTTCCATACATCGCGCGCATAGTTTCTGTTCTCTTGGAAGGTGCACAGAGATGAAGAACAAATTGCTTCTTGCACTTTCACACTTGCCCCCTTACACTTTCGCGGCTCTTCCCTGCTAATTCTTTACGCTAAAATAATCAGTTCATGAAAACCACTCTATTTTTTTTTCTTTCCAGACCGTATTTTATTTGATTCGCTTTCTGTAGAGGAATTGAAAAAAAAAAAAAAAAGGTACAGTTAGAACTAAAATCAGGCGAGAAATTGGAGGGCATGTTTAGGAGAGTTTCTGGAAATTGCGTGATTATTCCCTGCACTGTCAATGCTGAATTTTATTGGAGTTAAATTTTGCACCAGGAAGAAAGAAGAAGAAGAAGAAGAAGAAGAAGAAGAAGAAGAAGAAGAAGAAGAAGAAGAAGAAGAAATCCCCTTTCAATTTGTTCTTTAAATATTCTGTTCCTTGTAAGTTGAATAAGATTAGAAGATATATATTTGTTTAAAAGAATTTCTAGGAATTACCATAGTAAGGATCCTGAACTGGCATTAAATGCTCTTTTTTTAAAAAAAAATAATAAGTAACACATTGTTTTCTGTACAAGAAAGAGCCGAGTTAAGAAACACAAATATTGTGGGTATATCAAAACATTTGTTACTAATTTTTGTTGTTTATTTTTAAATAAAAAAAATTGCACCAGTAAAATGCTTTACTGTCTTCCATAAATTTTGCCAGAGGTTCAACTTAACACCACACAACTGGAACCATTAAATACGTTTAAGAAACTGTGATTTTAATTTAGTCAAGTGTGGGGACTGGTGTTTTTGGTGTCACTAACATAAATAACATCGCCCTTGTTGCTTTCCTTTTGGCGGCTCTCAGAGGGCACCGCAGGATGGAACACACCCACTGTTCACAGTTTTCAGGCTCAGTGGGGGCTTTGCAGCATCTCTGCTTCCCAGCCCGTCAGCCACAGGATGCCTTTTGCATCCCACATACACTACAGTGCAGATCCTGTCGTGGATTCGGTGGGGAAAAACCTCACGCTCGCAGAGGTCATTGCCCTGTGTAGATCTTCACGATGACATCAGGTTTGGAGAGAAAGGTAGTTTAAATGTGGTGTCAGTATCCCGCTAGTGTGAGGAATCCGAGGCTCTCCAGGCCCGGAGGGGAACAGAACCGAATGTTTCCTGGGCTTCCAAAGAAAGCGTGTCCTTGCCTTCCTCTCGCGACTTGGATTTAGTCTCTAAATAACCCCTCCCCCACCTCCCTAAGCAATGGGTTGTTATTCTCTGGGGTCCAGCCGAGGAGGAGGAGGTGGACCCAGGATGCCCAGAGGTGAGAGGTGGCAGGTGTGTCTGGGTGTCGCAGACAGCTATCCTTTTGTGGGGTTAGGACTTGGTGTGGACACATAATACGGACACTCTGACAGGCAGAGAAGTTTTGGGGCTGAATAACTGAGTCTGAGAGTAAGGGTGGGGGCTCTCCAAAGACTTACTTAGCTGCCCTTTATTTTTTAAAGATCCATCCACCTCACCCCCCCACCCCGTCCCCCTAATCCAAGTAGGATATACCCCTTGACAAAGGCTCGGGCAGAGGCGTTCAAAGCGTGGAAAGCTATGGTTCGGTGATTTTGTGGGCTCGGAGTGTAAGACTGGCGGCCTTCCGAGTCTCCAGGAGGCGCACAGCCCGGGCGCTCGGTCCTCGCGGGCGCGGTCAGCGGATCGTTAGGTCTGGTGCTTGGCTGCGGGCAGGCCGGGAGGTGGGTGTTGGCCGAGTGTAAACACCAGGGTCTGGAAGCTGCTGGTGGGGAATGCAAAGGCTCTGGGGGACGGTGAGCGAAGGTGGTGGGAGGCACAGAGATTGTTTCCCCGGGGACGCGCAGGGTGAAGGAAAGGCGGGCGAGTGGGTGGGGAGGGAGTGTGCGTCTAGTCTCAGCAGGTCAGCGCTGAACGCACGCAGGCCCGGAGACCCACCGGGACAGGGAAGCGTCCGCGCCGGCGGCGGGGACCGGCTTGCAGCTCATCGAGGGCGATGTCTCGGCGTGGCCGCGAGCTCCTGGACCCGCGGCGGCGGGACGGCGCCTGGAGGGCGGTCGGCGCCGCGCTCGGGCCCGGGAATCCGCGGAACCGGAGATGGGGACCCCGAGTGACCCACCCGTCTTCAGGAGACGACCGGCTCGCCCCGCGCGGTGCCTTCCTCCGCCCGGCTCTGCCCTTCCCTTCCCCAACTCCCCTCTTCTGACTCCCGCAGCTTGGTTAGCTTGGTTCCTGCGCGCCCCCTACTTGCCCCAGAGCAGCCCAGGTCCCAGGCGCTGCTTGGCGGTGAGGCTCCCCGGGCCGCGTGCGGAGTAGGGGATGCGGGTGTGAGAGCGGAGGGGACGGACATGGGGAAACGCCGGCTCTCGGGCGCGGCCCAGCAGGGGCCACCGCGCGCCGTGCCCCTGGCGCCCATCACCCGTGGCCTCAACCATCCTTCGTCTTCCGGGGAGGAGTTGCCTTCTGTGCCCGGGCTGGCCCGAGGGCACGCGCCAGGGCTGCGCTGCAATGGGAGACCGCGCCGGACTCCTCTGTGACGCTGACGACTTCGCCTGAAGACACTGGCCTTTTCTGGGCCGCAGTTTCTAGTCTTTGAAACCGAGGGCTTGGACCTGGTGCCCTCCGAGGCCGAGGCCACCGCTGAACTGCTCGAGCTGGTGTGTGTGTGTGTGTGTGTGTGTGTGTGTGTGTGTGTGTGTGTGTGGCTCAGGTGCAAGCTCTTGGGCCAGGTCCAGGCAGAGGCTGCACCGGGAATCACCGTGGTCCCCACCAAGCAACTGGCCACCGTCCTGCCAGCAAACACCAACCAGCTCCTGAATTCCTAAGTCGTCTGCTTTCAGACACCAGGGTTTTTTCACACACGTGGTCCAGGTATATCTGACTTCACAGGGAAGCATTGCTATGGGTCAGGGTAGTTTTATATTTTAAACAAATGCTGTGCACCAGCAATGTTCCAGGAGCCGAAGCCTATTGTTTTATTTATTTATTTATTTATTTATTTATTTATTTATTTATTTATTTTTAAATGTATTTTTATTGATTTCAGAGAGGAGGGGAGAGGGAGAGAGAGAGAGAAACATCACGATGAGAGAGAATCATTGACCGGCTGCCTCCTGGACACCACACAATGGGGATGGAGCCTTCAACCAGGGCATGTGCCCTAACCAGGAATCGAACTATGATCTCCTGGTTCACAGGTTGACACTCAACCACTGAGCCACCATGGCCAGGCCTATTGTTTTATTTAATCTACACAACCTTGAGGGTGTGGTGAGTAGAAAACATTATTATCCCTATTTTACAGATGAGGAAACAGAGAGTCACATAGTTTAAATGACTTGACCACCGTACACAGCTAAATCAAGATTCAAAACTGTCTAATGTCAATCCTGTTGGGTTTTCTAACCAGTTTTTCTACGAACCTTCGGGTTTATTCTCATTAAATGTTTCTTATTGTCTTCCTGACCCATTTCAATAGACCCGTTCATCAGAAAAAGAGCCTGGAACTTAAGGAAATCAAAGGAAGAATTCGGGCAGGCAAATCTAATGATATTTCTGTTTTGTGCCTTTGAAAATAAAAGACGCCAAAGGCCCATGGATCTGGACATAAATCTGGGTATATGGAAAGTAAGAAACACCATCATTATTATAATCAATAAAATGAACCATGTGTAAAGGAAAACGGTTGGTTGCGTTCAGAAATATGGGGACCTGGGCCTTGCTCGAGGATGCAGTGATAAAGACCTCACGGAAGACGTTTCCTCTTTGGAACTTTGGTTTTCTTACGGGTAAAAAGCCCCTGTTGGGGGGAGATGACTTCTCACGTTTAGAACGTGAAGTACGGTCTCGCGAACCCGCCTAGGTACAATGGAGGACGAGCGCCACCTAGCGGGAGCCCTTGCGGAATGCGTGGCGTATGGATCTACTGAAACACCGAAAAGTAAAAGTTGGTTTCACAAAACGGAATGCTTTTGCTGTTAATTGTCTCCACA